TGATATTTCATGGGCAGAAGGAAAGACTATTGAGGGATGGAAGAGGAAATGGAATAGAAGTAGAAAAGAAGAACAAGGAGTAACCAACTATGCCGCCCTCCTCTGGCCCTGTGAGTTGGGAAGTGGCTGGAAAAATAATAACTCTATCTCATATTTATTTAGTTCACAAAGAATTTCTCTTGCAATAACCCTCTGCCATTTTAAAGATTATGAAACTGAAGTTCATAAAGGCCCAGTTGACATCAATCTGCCTGAACTACCTCTCCAACTTTTAGGAGTGTCCTCCTGAGCTTTAAAAATAAAACAAAATCTTAGGAGGGATGTATATAGGAGTAAAGGCTTACTTCTCTGCTTTGAAGATAGCACCTTTAAGCATTTTTGTCATTGTCAACTTGGGCTTCTGGTGGACTTTCCTTCCTAGCTCTTTCATGTATTAGTTAAGACCCAAGTGACAAAACCATCTATCTTGGTTAGACAGCAGATGCTACCTCTATGTACATATAGAATGGTGAATTGGGTGACTTCAAATTGCCCTATAAAATTGGCATATTTGATAGTTGAACAGGGCTGTAATAATCAATAAATTAATGAGAATTTTATGTATCAAATGCTACTTGGACAAATTCAGTCAGGAGGGTGTAGTGGGATTGTTGTGGAGGATAGTTCCAATTTGAGCACAATCCCTCAAGTCGAGGTATAGGATCCTTAGATTGTGAAGTCCTTGAGAACAGGGATTGTCTTTTGCCTTTATTTAAATCCCCAACACCTAGCACAGTGCCTGGCACTTAGCAGATGCTTAATAAATGCTTATTGACTGAGTAACTGATTGTCTCCCAGAGATTCTTACCTTCTCTCCGCCCCTCCAACTCCAGGATTTGGGAGGAAAAGTGGCACTGGAAGAAGATAACCATACGAGGTGTCTGGCTGCCTGATGTAGATATGCCACCAGATTGCCAACTGGTGAAGACTTAAGCAGAAGTGTGGAGATTTGTTGCTGCCATAGGGAAAAGGCAATATCTCCTACAGTCAGTGCCCTGAAGTGAAGCCCTACTTAGCTTTCATATGTATGGCTGTATATTGTAGTACACACAGAGAGTTGCCAGCATCAAACCATATATTCAGTTGTTGGATCCAATGATTTGATGTTTGAATCCAGTATCTCCTAAATAAATAGAAAATCCATAAATCTACAAGTTACTCATTGAATTCATAGAATAAATAATGAGTCTAGAACTATCTTTTTTTCTTCTTAAACCATGGAAATCTTGAACATTCATGGTGGCAATGGTTAAGTAATTAGACTGATTTTGTGCATCACTAATTAGCCTCAACTTTAGAGTCAGACAAGTCATATCCAGATAAATATAGATAGATGATATACAGATGTAGATACAGATTTGCATGTAGACATAAGTAGATGCTATGGATATGGATACAGGTAGTGATACAAATACATACAAATAGACACAGATAGGGGCAGCTAGGTAGCAGTGGATAGAGCACTGGCCCTGAAGTCAGGAAGACCTGAGTTCAGGTCCAACCTCAGACCAAACACTTGACACTTAATAGCTGCGTGACCTTGGGCAAATCACTTAACCCCAACTGCCTTTAAAAAACAAAACAAATAGATACAGATAGATACAGACATAGATGATATAGATACAGATATGGATATGGATATAAAAATGAGTTAGTGGCTCTGTATTGGTTATTTATACATATTGGTTAAACTATGTTAGCATCATATATAAAGAGACCAAACATCTATTTGTTCATGTATGATGATGAGCAAGAATTTGTTTAAAGATTTTATAGTTAATCATGGATGGTTTTCTCTCAGTATCTCTGTCTCTCCTCCTCCTCTTTTATCTTCCTTCCTTCCTTCTTTCCTTCCTTCTTTCCTTCCTTCCTTCCTTCCTTCCTTCCTTCCTTTGCTTCTTTCTTTCTTTCTTTCTTTCTTTCTTTCTTTCTTTCTTTCTTTTCTTTCTTTCTTTCCTTCCTCCTCCTTCCCTCCTTCCTTCCCTCCTTCCTTCCCTCCTTCCTTCCTTCCTTCCTCCTTCCTTCCTTCCTTCCTTCCCTCCTTCCTTCCTTCCTTCCTTCCTCCTCCTTCCTTCCTTCCTTCCTTCCTTCTCCTTCCTTCCTTCCTTCCCCTCCTTCCTTCCTTCCTTCTTCCTTCCCTCCTTCCTTCCTTCCTTCCTTCCTTCCTTCCTTCCTTCCTTCCTTCCTTCCTTTCTCTCTCTCTCTCTCTCTCTCTCTCTCTCTCTCTCCCTTCCTTCCTTCCTTCCTTCCTTCCTTCCTTCCTTCCTTCCTTCCTTCCTTCCTTCCTTTCCTTCCTTCCTTTGCTTCTTTCTCTCTCTTTCTCTTTTTCTTTCTTTCTTTCTTTCTTTCTTTCTTTCTTTCTTCTTTTTCTTCTTTCTTTTCTTTCTTTCTTTCTTCTTCTCTTCTTCTTTTCTTCTTCTCTTCTTCTTCTTCTTCTTCTTCTTCTCTTCTTCTTCTTCTTCTTCTTCTTCTTCTTTCTTCTTCTTCTTCTTCTTCTCTTCCTCCCCCACCCACCCCACTGGGTTAAATCTCACACACAAATTTCACTTCACTTCTGTAATTTTGCTTCAGGAAGCTTATAAATACCTTTTTCTCACCTAACCTTTCCAAATACTTATTTATCATCCTTCATTTTTTGTTCTTATTTCAATTTTGTCTTTCTGAATTCTCTGATGAGTCATTTGGTGAAAGCTTGAGATCCTTTTCTGTTCAGATATTTGCTCTTCATTCTCACCAGGACCTACAAAATTGCAGGTAAGATCTGCTTCATGGATCTTAGCTTCCCCATTCTGTGTTCTTCTTTCCTGCACCCACAAGTTGTTAATGTTTTTTCTTTTCTCTCCAATCAAAATGTATTTAAGAAAGTATCTAATGAACTAATTCACACTAACATGTAAAAGATGATAAAAGCTAAAAGTGTTATGGCCCCCAGGTTTGCCTGCATTTTTCTGGGCAATTAAAGCTTTGAACTGTGACCTAATTCTAAGGTTTATCATTGTTAATAGTAACAGCAATGACAGTGAATATTTATAGTGTGTCATCCTGTGTTTAATACTGGTAATATTTTTAATATAGCTTTACTCAGATTATTCATTGATTACATTTTATAGTAAGATAGTTAATACACTGCAATTTTTGTTTCCTGAAAAGGGTTTTATGTTTATGTTTAATTAAATGGAAGAAAGGATGATATATTGAATGGGTCAGGCAGTCAGTTAATAAACATTTATTAAGCACCTACCGTGCTCTAGGTAAGGTCATGTAGGTGGCAAAGTGGATAGAATGCCAGACCTAGAGTAAGGAAGACTCATCTTTGTGAGAGAAAGTTTGGCCTTGGATGCTTTAATTGCTGTGTGACTGTGGGTAAGTCACTTAACCCTGTTTGCCTCAGTTTCCTCATTTGCAAAATGAATTAGGGAGGAAAACCACTCCAGTATTTTTGCCAAGAAAACCCCAAATGGGCTCGTGAAGAGTTGGACATGATTGAAAAATGAATGAACAGCAAAAATACTCCAGGCACTGTGCCAAGTGCTGGAGATACATAGAAAGGCAAATGATAGTCCCTGTTCCCAAGGAATTCACATCTAATGACGGAGCAGAGAGGGGAAGATTTAGAGTTGGAGATCATCTAGTCCTTTACAAATGAAGAAATTGAAGCCCAGAGATGTTTAGTGACTTGCCCAAAGTCACATAGGTAGGTAAGTGGAAGTTATTATATAACTTAGAAGATTTACTTGTTTGTGTCTACTATTTTATTTAATGCATTTAAGGTTATCTTGATACCAGGACCAAGATTAGGCAAAATTGTGGAGTACCTGAAATTTCACTTCACTGTTGGTGTCTGTCTTTGGCATCATTTGTCCTTGTTTTCAATGTCCTACTACTCTGTCCTTCAAGGAGGAAAAAAATAATGGATATTCCCATTCCTTCACCTCCCCAACATTTTTCAGAACATGTTCTTTTCTCTTAAGAAAATTGATTGATCATGAGGCTGTATGGAAGCTCCCTCAATTAATGTAGTTGTCTTGCCTAGTTCTTTGGAAGGAACGTAGAGAGCACGTAATCTAACATTTTTGTTTTAGGAGGAGGACACTGGGATCTAAAGACATTAAATGACTTAACCAAGGTCATACAGATGGTAATTAAGGATTTGGGAGCTGAAATCAAATTCTCTGCCACCATGATCTGGAAGTCTTTCCACTATACTCACTGCCTCTTCTATATCATGCTACGTGCTTTTATTATCCTTTAGTAGTATTTGTGTCTTTGGAGAATCAATCAGTCACTATGTCTTTATTAAGCACTTCTCATTGTGTCAAGCTGAAAGAGAAAGAGAGAAAGCAAAATTCATCCCTGCCTTCCAAGATCTTATATTTTAATGGGGGAAATACTATGTATATAACTAGAATTGTACAAGAAACCTAGAAGAAAGGTCATCTTAGAGAGAAAAGTTCTTATTAAGTTTAACTTAAAAGTCTGTTCTAACAATCTTAGAATTAAAATTATTTATACCCTATCTCCCCAAGTGGTCTATAAGCTGCTAGAGGGCAGGAAAGGCATCTTGTACAAATTAGAGTCCTCTATTACTTTTAAGACAGCCCCTTGGACGTAGTAGATGTTCAATAAATGTTTAAATGAAAGTTATCATTGCTCACTCATAATATCACTTTGGCGAAAATTATTACAAGCTTATATTCAGCTACAGCGTCAAATTTAATAAGAAGAATATCTATTTGTTGCATTTGTGCTTACTGATTTTGTAATTTAGCTGGTATCTTGATATAAGTCATGTCCCAAAACTCTTAGTTCATGCTTTGAGTTGTTAAATTAGCTCAAAACTGTACCAAGACCTTTGGGATACCCAGTATTACCCTACAGATGGCAAATGCATGTTCTAAATAGTTATAATCTCTATCCCCTCCCCTCTTCCCCTCCCTAGGGAAGGTTGTTCACCCCCTTACCTTTGCCTTCATATTCTGCTTGAGTACTTATGCACATATCCAGATTCTTTCTTCACAGAAATTACTTGCTTTATTTTGCAAGCTGGCTTGGACTGACTGCTGCTAATCTAACACTTCCCTCCCCCCCTCCAACTTACTGAAAATCGGTTGCTTTAGAGAGAATGTGATTGTTAGTATTTCACATCATGTCATAGGAAAATGAATTCATCATGGTAGCTCAGGGTCTAGGCATCTACTTCCTATGTTTCAATTTCCTTTCCCAACCGAATCTCCTTCTTCAGTCTGTTCCTCCGATGAATCCTTCTCAGGCTAAAAGCTGAGCAGAGACCAAACATGAACAATTCTTTATCACTGGGCAATGACCCAAGAACAACCACAACCCAAATTTGAGGGAGTCAACTTCCCTGGCATTCCTACCCCAGGCAGTGTGATAATGAAACCAGACATAGACACTTCCTTCAACTTCTGCCAGATAGTATGTCTTGGGTGAAGTAGATTACAATGAAGGCTGCAGAAAACGAAAGGCATGTTGGAATCTCCCACCACAGAGGAAGAGGGGCTTCAGTTTCAGAGTGACCCCATAACTGGAGTTAAAATTCAATTGTTACATCATCCTTTAAGCATGCCATTTAAAAGATACCTTTCAGATCACAGTTAGCTCTAAAATATCTGGTCTTATGTATGATCTAAACTTATTTTTTTCCCACAAGAATATCAAACGGCTTAAAAAAGTGTAAAATAAATCCCACCTTTCTTAATTGCTCAATTTCCCTCTCTTGGACAACCTATATATTTTAGAAAACTTTGGATTATTGATTGACTGTGATAAGTAAGGCCTTTACTTTACAATGACTACGAATAGGTTCATCTGAATATTCAGTACACATTCCTGGTAAACTAAAAACTCAGCCCCCTATGAGAATATTTAAATTCCATTTGTAGAACACAAGGAATTCATGGGATCATTAATTTTGAGCTACAAGGGATCTTAGAAATTATTCTAACATCTCTTTACAGGTCACAGGCTCATAGCATCATAGATTTAGAATTGGAATAGCCCCCAGAAGTTGTCTAGGACAGAGGTGTCAAACTGTCCCCACAGTGGGCCCACAAAAATCCCGAGTTCAGCCTAAACCAGATCAAAATATAATTGGAAAATGTTTAACAAAATAAATAAAAAATATAGCATAGATAATGTTCATGTGTGATTTTATAAATCAAAATGCAGCCAACAGGGCAACAGCCAATATCTATATGATGTTTGACAACACTAATCTAGTCCAACCTCACTTTACAACTGGGGAAACTGAGGTTCACAGAGTTTCAATGACTTGCCCAAGGATACACAGGTAGCAGAGCAGAGGCTTTAAATCCAATACTTTTCCCATTATAAAGGCATCTAGGTGTTATAGTGAGTAAAGTGCTAGACCTAGAATTAAGAAGACCTGAGTTTAAACTCAGCCTCAGACACTTACTGGCTGTGGGACCTTGGGCAAGTCATTTAACCTCTTTGCCTCAGTTAGCTCCCAGGGTGGTTAGGATCAAATGAAATAATATTTGTAAAGTGCTATTGTTGTTCAGTTGTTTCAGTCATGGCCAACTCTTTGTGACCCCATCTGGGGTTTTCTTGGCAGAGACACTAGATAGTTTGCCATTTCCTTCTCCAGCTCATTTTACAGATGAGGAAACTGAGGCAAATAGGGTTAAGTTACTTGCCCAGGGTCACACAATTGGTAAGTGTCTGAGACCAGATTTGAACTCAGGAAAATGAGCCTTTTTGACTCCAGGCCTGACACTCTATCCACCAGAGGTGGGGAACCTGTGGTCTTGAAGGCTTATGTGGACCCCTAGGTCCTCAAGTAAAACCATTTAACTGAATTCAAACTTCACCAATCAAAGGGCCACACTTGAGGGCCTAGAGGGCCAATGTGGCCTCAAGACCACAGGTTTCCTGCCCCTGCAGTATCCACTGAGCTACCTAGCTGCCCAATAATAAAAACAACAATTACAAACTAATGTTCTTTTTACAATCAAATGATATAATGTTTGTAAAGTGTTTACCATAGTGCCAGGCACATAGTAGGTATTTAATAAATGTTTGTTTAATAAATCTTAAAATCCAACTCCTATCACTCATCATGGTGGGGTGACTGTGATAAGTGTGTGTAAGTTGATTACAGGATCAGTCCAAATCTGTATTTTGAATAGAGAATCAGCCTCACTACGTCTGTGAATGTCCATCACCTGAAGATGGACAACTAGGTGATTTTTTTTTCTTTTTTGGCTAAAGAAATGAAGATCTTTTTATTAAGACATTGAAAACTTGTGAATTCATTGGTCAATGGAGTATTGATACTGACAAAATCATTCCTCCATGAAATATTGAAGTTAATATTCATTCCTATGTTGGAGATCCCACTGTGTATATAACACTAGGAACTGTGTTGCAGGGCTACATTACAAAGAAATATAATTGATTTAGAATGAATTGGATACCCACATGGTATGAACTTTTAGTGCATGTTAGCATTTACTATGGAGTTAAAGTTTCTCTTTCTTGAAGGACAATATCTGGTTTTCTACCTATTGCCATATGGAATGCTATATAAGATGAAGCTATATAGGATGGAAAAGGGTAGTTACAAACAGAAGTGATAGCCAGTGAAAAACCAGTTTAAATGTTTTCAGTCACTTAGCTCTTTGAATCAAACAGTAGTTCATAAACTCCTGAATTATGTTCTAATGGTAAAAGCAATGGGATCATTTCATCATTGTTCTAGAACTGGAAGGTACCTCAGAGGCCATCTAGCCCAAGCCCTTCAAGAAACTGAAACTAAGAGAGTTTAAATGAATTGTACAAGGTCAAAAAGGTGGTATTAAAAGAGAGTTCCTTAAAACTCCTCACTGCCTTAATTTGCTCTTTGATAAACTGGAATTCAGTTCAATTTAAATCAATTCAATTCAACAAAGGTATATTAAGTACTGACTTTGTTCTAGGAACCAAGATACAAAAACAAAAATGAAGAGTCCTTGCCTTCAAGAAGCTTACATTTTACTAAAACTTCCTAATATACTTGGATTAATTAAGCAAAGTACAATTATCCCTTACACATCAAGGGGTTCTCTGTGAGTCAGAAAATCCACATAAAATTTTTTGGCCCTCCTTTTATACTAGCGAAGGCTGAATTTTTTTCTTTTTCTTTTATGGGGTGTTTACAGTACCTTCTTGTAAAATTTGGGATAAGTATTTGCTCATAAGCTATACGTAGGTCAATGTTGAAGTATAAATACTATATAAAAATATACAAAACAAATATGAAAATTAAAAGCATATCAGAAGAGGAGGAAAAGGAGGAAGAGGAAGAAGAGGTGAACATGTAGAGCTAAGCCCCTCGCAGTAAGAGGTGGGAGTGGTGGAAGTTCAGACTCCCACAGATTAGTGGTAATTTCTCATGCCGCCCCGATATATTGAAACAATGATGGGGAAAGTCTCGATGTAGAAGGGATAACAGTAAATACAATGTAATATGAAGTAATTTCAGAAGGACGAGGGTACTAATAACTAAAGAAGAAAGACTTTGTGGAGGAGGTGGCATCTGAGCTGCGGTCTGAAAAAAAAAGCTAGGGTTTCTAAAAGGAAGAGATGAACAGAATATGCATTAAAGACATGGAACAAAGGCATAAAGATGGGATATTGCTGCTAATCTAATTCACAGGATGTCTCTTTTTATAATGGCAGGTCAGTGTGTATGCTGATGATTTGCCTGGTAAAGAAGTCTTAACATGTGTTATCCACATCCAAAGAAAGGACTATGGAGTTTGAATACAGATCGAACCATGCTATTTTTTTTCTTCTGTTTTATTTTGTTTCGTCTTTCTGGTGGTTCCTCCTGTTGATTCTAATTCTTCCTTACAACATCACTAATGTGAAAATACGGTTAATAGGAATGTATATGTATAGCCTATATCATTGCATGCCATTTTGAGGAGAGAGGGGGAGAAAAATTTAAAACTCAAAAGCTTATGGAAGTGATTGCTGATAAATCAAAATTAACCTGGTAAAATTTTTATTGTTATTGTTCAGTCATTTCAGTTGTGTCTGTCTCTTCATGATCCCATTTGGGATTTTCTTGGCAAAGATACTGGAGTGGTTTTCCATTTCTTTCTCTAGCATCCTCCTTAACAATTTCATTTGCCTCAGAAACTACCCACCATATTTGGTAGGTGGTCCCCAGACAACCCTATTGTAGAGGCTTCTTTAGAACAGGAATCTTGGCTCAGATTCTTATAATCTAGCCACTGCTCAGATTCTTAGAATCTAGCCAATAGCTCACTGATGTTCAGACTCCTTAAGAGTCTGCCCAATATGACATATGTTCTAATAAACCTTGTCTATGGCTGAAAAAAAAAGGCAGGACTCTCATTCTTTCCTCAATTCAGGAAAACAGTGAAAGGGGGCTTCAAGGCAAGGAGAGCGAATAGACAGGACTACCTCTGTGCAACCGCAAATGATCAGGTAGACTATGATCAAATGGCAGAGAATTGTATCGCTGGCTGAATCCTATCTGCTGTTTCAGTTTGGTAAAGAAAAATAGACAAAAGATTATCTGGATAATTCCTTTAAGTATGAATTCAATTTTTAAAAATTTCGCCTGTTTATAAAGGTTTGGGCTCTTTAGCTTATAAAAATATGTTGATTTTAAAACGCTTTTTTTGACCATGAGAGGTTAGAAGCAGGTAGGTGGCACAGTGCAAAGAATGTTGGGCTTGGACTCAGCAAGACCTGAGTTTGAATCCTCCCTCAGACGCTATCAAATAACAGTGATCAAGTCACTTGACCTTTCTCCAGCTCAGTTTCCTCATAATAACACTTACTACCCAAGGTTGTTGTGAGGATCAAGTGAGATTGTATATGGATGTAAAACACTTTGCAAATCTTAAAGTACTATATAAATGCAAGCTACTATCATTATTAGATTGATGCTGAATAATAAATAAGAAATGACACATGCTAAGATAATTGGTTTATAGCCTGTTTACTTCAAGAACCCTGCATGTCCTTGTGTATCTTCCCCAAGGTAGAATTAATTCACTTGGCTGAATTTTATTGGGGGTGGATGTGGGGTTAGGAGACATACTTTATAATGTTAGTGGCATGTGAAATTCTATGTTTTGATTCCAGGAAAAAAAATATTGCTATGGAATACATTCCACCACGCATCTTTACTCATACAAACTTAGAAAATGTGAAACTTTTAATTGGGCCTTTCTAGGGAATCACAATTTTAGAAGGTATTGGCTGACAAGATAAATCTTGCAATAAGAACTTTTCTCCAAGTTCCTTGCAAAACCAAAAATAATTAAAAATTTAAGAATTTTGAGAATGTAAGCAGCTTTTTAAAAAAACTTCTTAAGTTGTTTATGTTTTGCATTTCACTTGGGTTGAATAATGAAACTAAAATGGTTGGTTTTTCTTTTGTATCTTGTCTGTTTCTAATCAGTTTTCCTTTTGGATTCTCAATGCACTCTAGAA